GAATTATATTTTTGTTTTTATCTGCATGCATTTTGAGTAGAAACATACATGTTTCGATCAAGAGAAAGTGTATATTCGATAAAAATATTTTTTTTTTGTTTGCATGCATTGAGTAGAAAAGAATATTTTACGATAGAGAAAAAGAACGTTTATGCGTCAAAAGGTATGCTTTGTATTTTTGTTTGCATCGATCGCATAGAAACAAACACTGTCGAGAGAGTAAAATAATATTTATTGATGAAGCATTTTTTTTAAATATTTTCGTTTGTAGGTGTCGAGGAGAAAAGCTTTAAAAATACTGTGTAGGATTAAAATTACTTGCAAAATATGATTTTTGTTACATTTAGCTAAGACAAGTGGTTAAGTGACAATGATCATTAGCGTGTAAATTATTGTTTGAAACGCGTTGCACACAACCAAACATGTCTGAATTTTTGCTTTTTTTTTCGCTATGAAATCAGTAGCGCGTTTAAACGATTTGCTTGTTCTTTCATTATAAACGTACTGAGATATATAAACGAATGAATTGTTAAAACACGAAAATTCGGAAATTTTTGAGTATTTGAAGCGCGTTGAAGGAGAGAAAAAGAGGATTGTTGAAACACATTAGTTTCTTATTTCTGACTGTTTGGTTGTTCGCTCAACGTGAAAAATGAAAGTTTCCGAGTGTATATGGACTATAAAGTTCTTACCCAATCTTTTTAAGTCAAATCAGATTTAGTTTTTCTTTGAAAATTCACTCTTATCAGTTATTTACTTTGACAAGAGAAATAGCATCCTTCTTTTTTTTTTTCTTGCTCTAAAGTATACCATTAGAAAAAATTTTAATTTGAACCGAACTAGTACCGTTTGTAAAGTGAACTTTTTTTTAATTCATATTATGATGAAAAAGTTTTGGACAAAAATAAGAGATTCTAAATCCTAGAAATTGAAATCCACATTAGTTGTGGTTCTGAGAAAAAAGTAAAATGTGCTATAGATAACCATTACACGACTAGTTTACATAAAAATGCAGATACAAATGTCTGTTATGGAAAACATTTTAGCATAATCCAACAGTTATATATTTTTCGTACGTAGTTGATCAAAATATGAAAGGTATATTTCGATTGTTATGGAATTTTAAGTTACTTATAAAAATGATTATGATTTTATCTGTTAAGTAATTCTCCATAAGCAATAGATCAGCCCATAAACATTTGATTTCTTAAATCGAAATTATTAACATAGATAAGTTTGGCAAGCATTATCAAAGTAAGTACCAATGCAACACTTATTGAACAACTTTCAGTCATTTTACAAAGATAAACAACTAACCTCTTGAGTTAGGAGAAACATTTATTGCTTTTCTTAAAAATAGGTAATTCGTAGCAATAGAAGATGCGTGCATCTTCCATAACATATACTTTTTCGTGAAATTATGAATCCATAAGAGTAAGAACATGCTTACTTCTTTTAATATAGGTTCATTTTTTCTCTGTTTAATATTCTATTTCAGGGGACAGGGAGGAATTTTTTTAAATAATTTTTTTTCCTTTTTACTGAGCTGTCAAAACTGTAAGAATAGAGGAATAGACGGTTTCCTACTTATAATACGTCTTTTGCTATTCAGCTTGTTTTGTAACAATAAACGATAAATTAGCAAAATTCTTTCTTTTCGTCTAATATTCAATTCATATAAGAATAGAAAAACAGACTTCTTATTAAAATATATGTAGGATTGTTTTTCTTCTATGCAGCGTATGTTTTTTAACTCAGAGATATTACTCCCCAAATAGTAATAACTTACTAGCGAAATAACATGAACACTACTTTTTATACAAATATTTTTTCCATCAAGTACTCAATTCCTAACAGAAAGTAGATGTCTCGTATTTATTCAATATAAACTTTTTCTTCCAACCAGTAGTCAGTTCATAGTGGTAGAATGATAAACAGCTTTGTCTAAAACCAATCTATTTTGTTTTTGTCTAATATTTAGTTATCGAGACAGAGAGATATTCAAATCGCATAAAAGTGCATGTTCTTTGTTTTCAATGAGTAGTTCGTTTTCTCTCACTATAGTTAGATAACATTTTTGTAGTTACAATAGTTTTTATCGTACAATTTTATGCATTACTGTTTGTTTGATTTCTGAACTGTGAAATCGTTAGAGCAAACAGTTGTGTTTCATAGAATCAGTTTCTTGAAAACATAGTTTACGTGAGTTCTTACTTATTATGATCTTGCTGTCATCTTGTAAAAATGACTTCTTCGTTTAATTTCGCTTTTCAACTAATCACTCATGGTTACAAAATGACGGCAAAATGGTTATAACTAAGAACTCATCTAATTATTTTTCTTCTGGGAAACTAGGTCTATGAAGTAAAACTGTTTTCTCTAGTGATTCACTGACTAGGGAACATTTTCAACTGGCCAATCACTTTTTCAGTTCAGAGTCTTTCCATTAGGTAGATCCCAGTCAAATATGAAAAGTCCCAAAAGGACAAATATCCTTAGGTCTTCTGTTCAGAGTTATAGGCGTTTTACTGAAATTTCAGTCTATGGCATGATATATGCTACAACATCCACCTGCGTTATTTCGACCTGAAATTTTGCCCATAGACATATCTATTCGTGAGTAAAGAATCCTGACAATTTCAGCCCAAAAAATGTTGCATTCTTGAGATATTGGAGTCTCAAAAGCAGAAAATTCTTGCATTTTTTCATAGGGCACAGATGATTTTTGGGTTTTGAACATCTCAGAAATGCAATATTGTTTTGGACTGAAATTTTCAGGGTGCTATACATACGTATAGAGATATCTGTGGGCGAAATCTCAGGTCGAACTGACGCAGTTGGATTTTGTGGTATATACCATGCTATAAGCTGAAATCTCAGTAGAATGCCTATAACTACAGACAGACTAAAAATCTAAGGGCAGTTATCCTTTTTCGAATTTTCATATTTGACTGTGATCTAGTTAATGCAAAGACTCCGAACTTCCTGGGTTCGGTCATTCCCGATACCGAAAATACTGGGTTTAGTAATTCTTGTACTTTGGTCTACATTAGGCATCCAGCGAAGCCGGGAACAACCGAAACGTGGAAGTTCGGGCCCGACATTCTCTCGAGTTCCACTGATGTCTAGTAATGACCCAATCCCGAGATTTCTCGTCTGTACCCGGGTCCGGCACATGCCTACATTTGAAAATGCTCTCTCATGAGCTCCGAATTTGAACGCGTTACAATATGCGCCTTTTACGACTCTATTTTAGAAAGAACTTTATTTCGTTCTTTATTTTTTTCAAAGAGAAAACACCTCTAGATAACAGACATTTTTCGTTTTTCTCGTTTGTATTCTTCTTTGTATGCTTTCTTTATCTCAAACAAAAAGCAAATAATGGAGAGATATACTATGCAATAACGATATTATTACTAAGAAGGGAATAATTTTTCAACAAAACAGTACAAGAGACCAGAAAAAACGAACAAGCGAGAGAAAGCTGAAAAGAAAGATAGAAAAAAGCTATCGAAGCGTATCGATTAGTATTTTCATGTTGCTCTATTTATTTTTCGCCTGATTTTCGTATCTAACGGTTAGATATATACAGTGACTATCAAAATTACTCGACAAGCAGAGTACAGATATTTTCTTAGTTCATATTTCGAAACCTATAATTAGTTGTGATCACTCTATTTCATCCTTATTATAGTCCATATCGCCTAGTATATGTACACAAAATATCAAGTCCAGACATTCTTCGTTCCATAGTTACTGATCAAACATTCTCAATGTCTCTTTTTCTATCGTTCCAAAATTAATTAATCACCTGTTTCTATGATTTTCTACGTGAGTATCATAAGTCCAACATTTCTTTATAATACTATTTTTCATCATACAAAAGAGAAGTTATACATTTTCATGCGTATGCCCACTATTCTAATCACGTACGCAACTCCTTGATTCCTGCCTTTTTCATATGTAAGAGAGTACTTAAAATATTTTTGAATAGTGCAAACAAGCATAGAATTGTTTCCTTTATGAATTATTTACAACTAAAATTGAGAGTACTTTGTTTCTGATGAAAAATACACCATTGTTTCACAGAATAACTTACCATTGAACCTGTGCCTAAAGCATCGATAGCAAATAGAGAAGGATTACATTCAAAAATAATCCAAATTCTCCAAAACAGATGCTATTCAAAAGAGTATAATATTCTGAGCAAAGTTTACGTTGTGCTAGTTGTTGATACTATTAGGCCAAATTCGATCGTATGTTGTTTTGTGAAACAATAGTGTATTTCTCATCAGCAACAAAGTACTCTCAATTTCAATTGTAAATAATTCATGAAGGAAACAATTCTATGCGTGTTTGCACTATTCAAAAATATTTTAAGTACTCTCTTACATATGAAAAAGGCAGTAATCAAGTAGTTGTGTACGTGATTAGAATAATGGGCATACGTATGAAAATGCATTTTCAGATGGAATTTAAGACGCTCTTTCTAATGGTACCTTGAAAATCTGGAATCAGTTGAAAATTAAAATAAAAAGTCATATTTTTCGAATTAATTACTTCTAGTATTTATCAGTATGCTATGGAAATTGCCCATACTCGATCATATTTTCAAAAATAGAACACAAGAAAAAAATAGTCCATTGTATAGAGAAAAAAATTCTCTTACAAATGGAATATTATAACGAAATGTTGGACTTATCATTCTTGCGTAGAAGATTATAGAAACAGGTGATTAATTAATTTTGGAACAATAGAAAAAGAGACATTGAGAGTGTTTGATCAGTAACTATGGGACGAAGAATGTCTGAACTTGATATTTTGCGTACATATACTAGGCGATATGGACTATAATAAGGATGAAATAGAGTGATCACAACTAATTATAGGTTTCGAAATATGAACTAAGAAAATATCTGTACTCTGCTTGTTGAGTAATTTTGATAGTCACTATATATAATTGAAAAATAATCGTTGATTAGCATTATAGAAGAAAAATAATGGCAGAAGCGAGAGTTATACGACGTTCAAAAAATGACGTTCAAACAGAACTTTCATCGTATAATGAACTAACTCAAGATTCAACAACTGTCGATAAACGAAAAGCTCAATATAAAACGTTAGTAGAGAATTATTATAGTTTAACAACAGATGGTTATGAATATGCATGGGGTAAAAGTTTTCATTGTGCCAATCGATTTCGTGGTGAAACATTCGCAGAATCAATTCAACGACATGAGT